CCCCAAAACCCCAAAACCCCAAAACCCCGTTATTCAACTATTTGATGATTTCAAAGCATGGTAAAATTTTAAAATTAAAAATCAAAATGAAGAATTAAACGTCTAGTATTTCAACATCATCCCATTAAGATTTGCTTAAATTCATATCTCAGAGTAAATTACCTTAGGCAATCTCAACTACAACTTCCATCACTGGTAAGCAGCCATTTTCCCCTGTAAGTTAAAAGGAAAGAGTGAAGCCTCTCAGCGGATTCTTATTAAATCAATATACAACTACTACCACAGCCACTCACACTCAAAATGAATTCCAAGACCAGACAGCAATGAGTTCTAAATTCACATAAAGCTCACATTACTTGAAATCTAAGACTAATTAGAACACTCTTGGTTTTCCCTCTGAGTCATTCTAGTTTCAATCGATTCAAGGAGATGACAGAGTAGATCACAAGAAAAGTCAAGTGATCAATAACAAGTTGAGTCCTATTGAGTTGCAAAGAATTCAAGAAAAAGTCATTGTTGAGGGAGTTATCAAGACTAAAATTGAAAATAATAAGGCTAAATTAAGGAAGTTTGTAAAATAGGGTATCTAAGGTAACAATCAAAAGCAAGAAGTCAAGAGAGAGATATCTCCACTGGTAATACAAAGAGCTTACGACTATAACCCGTCGAAAACTATGCGCAGTCAAACAACAAGTTCTAGTGGCAGCAGGCCTTCCCATCAAGGCTACACCAACAACCATAGAAACCATTTTGTAAAAACCGTATATACAAGTCTATCACCTGTCAGATCTCAGAACAAAAATAAGCAGCTAAACAAATTTGATTCAAACTAGCAAAACATCATCAGTCATAGATCTCTAAGCAATAAATAAAGAAATCCTATAAATATTAATTAATTGGCAAGAAACCCATAGTAATTGAAATCTGCTCACACGCTAAGCAGCTAAGAGTCTTAATAAATTAACAACACTAATCCTTTCAATGAATAGGAGAACATTGACTACAACATTATGAGTGTTGGAAGTCAGCATAATTCTATCACCCCGATTAGAATAAGCAATTTGAATTTCAAAAACTAGCAGGCTTTGATGTCCACTAATTGCTTTAGCTCTTAGGACTAATAAGAATCTAGCAAATAAGATCTAAACTACGTGGTATAGGAAATAGAAAGATTAAAAATCATGCACAATGAAGAGATAGGAGTTCTAAAAAGAAAACTAGTTGACACAGAAAAAAGATTCGTGCTGCTATGGGAGCATGTCAAGGAAAATGGAAGGAGGAATGATCAAAGAATAACTGAGATTCAGCAGAAGATGAATCATTAAAGTCTGATAAAACTTCACAAAAAAGCAAGTCCCTTAAATAATCCCAGTATCATAAGTTCAGAATAAAAGAGAAGTATGGAAAGGGGGTAAATGATTCTATTTTCCGACGATAAGCAACAGACTAAGTCATTATTCAACATTGCTGATCTGAATTCACCACAATAATTGTAGTAATAAAACAATAATCAATAAAAATCAAGGAACAACATGATGAACAATTCCCTAGTAACTCCTCATTAGTCTAATTCCTCATAAAAAAAATCCTACTAGAGAATGCATTAGGAGCTTTAGGATTCATTGATGTCTATTCAGACTTAGAATTATCATCCATTCATGTCATCACAAGACCAATAGTCAAGCACTTCTCCTATATACCCAAATGCAAATACAAAATCTAATGCTGATTTGCTCTCATCTTGTTTTTCAAAGAACGGGATGTTCTAATCAGTAGCCAATCCACATTAAAACTCAACACCCCACCTTGAGATAGAAGAGGAAATCAGACAGATGAACTAAGGCAGCAACTAACCACTAATATCCTAGCCTTCAACTTAAAAGTAGCAATTCTTGTCTAAGAATTTCTCAATGTCATCAATTAAATACTCAAAGCAAAGTCAGAATAACACCATGAATTCATTCACACCTATTTAAACTCAAGAAAATCCTATCCCCAATAACGTAGATCAGACTAGGAACAGCAATCTCACCATTAACACTTCTAATACTAGATCTGCTTACCCCCTGGTAAGTGCCAATCGAATAAACTATAATAGCACTAACTCAGAATCATAAAGCCAGCACTCTCGTTAAAATACCTTAATGGACTACAAGAGAAGCGAAATCAGAATCAATAATCATGCTAGTAATAATTTAATCGATAAAAATCATAGTAATCAAAAGTAAGATTGCAATAAAAGGAGAAGCTTAAATAGAGTGCTTTCTATGCAGATATTGAACAATAATGGCCTCTAAGGAGGCAATCATCTCTATGGTTCTTTTGACTAGAACTTCCCAGTCCTAGCTAGATTGGAATAGCAATACTTGAAGAATCTTTAAACTCTAGGAAATTATCCTTCTAGAAGTCCAACATCAAACGCAAGTTCACTGGAATAAGAATCTTAATTTGGAAATGTGCAGGTCTATTCACCAGAAGATAGCAACAATCAAAAACTGTACATAATCAGTTCAAGATGGTTTATCAACTGGTTCCAAGCCTACTCTGCGAACAAATTCTTCCTTCCTCAAAAGATCACAAATATGTAAGTTGTCATTTTTATGATATATATCTTAGTGATGCAATGGATTTAGAGAAAATGACGATCAAACCAAAAGCTATTCCGAATCTAGATTACTTCATAATAAACTTTGAGATTTGGAGTTCTCTGATGAATTTATATGGCGCAGATTATGAGATTTAACTTAGCAAGTTCTCCATAAGTATTATCGATTTGGGTCAAGATGACACAACACCAAGGCACTCCTCTTTCCTAGATGTACCAAATGAACTCTCTTTCTATCACGATAACCTCACTGCTATATTGAATAGTGTCAAGTTTAGTACCTTATAGTAATTGCCACACACAACTAGAACAAGACCACTCTCAGATGATATGACCTTGTAGCAATAGGAAATGCTTCAGCAGTAATACAAAGAGCTAAACGATATAAAGCTATAAAATGAGAATTTGAAGTACTAGCAGTATCAATAGCAGAGAGAAGAAAGTCTAAAGAGAGATATCACTAAGAAGAACAACATAATATACATGAATAAGTGAGATTCAAATCCTTGGAGGAACATAGCTCTGCCTTAATAGTTATGAGCTAATGAATAAAATCATTAATGCCTTAAGAATATAACTTAATTTAATGACTTAAAGTATTAGCTTTATTTAAATTATTAAATTTTAGAATACTATTATTATTAAATTTCAAAAATCTCTATTTATATTTTCAAGTACATTATTGTTGTAGTTTCCCTCTGCCTAAGAATAACTAGTTTTGTAAAATTGTAATCCAATTAACAGTAGTAAAATATGGACTAAAAGTATGATCGCCCAAAACATGCTAATTTACTTTCCGCTTTAAATTTCTCCTATTAATTTCTATTTTTCTTATTCCAAATTAACTGATGATCTACGAATCATTGAAGAAGAGGCTTAACCTCCTATAGCATGTCCACTATTACTCATAATAGATATCTATCTTTTGAGCTCCTATGTTTCATTCTCTATTGTATTAATTCTCCTCAATAAGATCTAAGCCTTCTTCTGTTCATTGATATCAGGTCTAATATCAATTGGGATATTATTCATAATGTGCACGCTATTATACATGATATTCTATTTTTCTGGGGCTCGATGATGCTTCTATATACCATTATTTAAGACATCAACAGACTGTATCAGCTCAGGGGCAATATGTCTTAAATTTCTTTTCTCATCATTGGGTTCTATTACTAAACCATTTTAGTTTTTATTTTCTAATGATTACTGATTTTCACTCTCCTCTTCACTTATGCTATTCATCTAGGTGCTTTTAGAGCCTTTCATTGTATTTAATACTAGGCTATAGCTATCCATTTAAAGCAGATCTAACTAATCATCAGTCAAGGCATTATCATTGATTCTACCACTGACAAGGGTCTTGGTTCTTCGATGCAGACTACCTCCTCTATTTTTCTTAATTTTTTGCATTTCACAGTAATCTGGGGATACAAATTTACTAGACTACTAGCTTTCAATTTGACTTTGAGATATTTCATCTAAAGTATTCTGATCAGTTTTATTGATAGATAGGTTGTAATTTTCAAATGGATGTCGTTGATACATGTCACTTGCTTGTAGTATCAGGTAGTCAAAATCTAATTCCTTGTAAAACGAATTTAGTGATTGAAAAACTATATACAGAGTAACGACGATGTCATTATGAGTATTTTCGCTAACCAACTTTTACTTCTGACTCATTATTATAACTATAGCCATATATATCTCGAAGTGCTAGTGAGTCAAGCACACATCAAATATTCTTTGAACTACCTCTAAATTGTCAATGTCATGTGAAAACCATGTCAAAAGCCACGACAGAGTGAAGTTCAGATTCCCATGCACTTCTTATAGCATTTGATATAACTCGTAGTCTTCCTGACAAATGATGTCTATCATCATCCGCCATTTATCTTCGAATTCTAGAGCAAAGGTAGACTTCATATAGTTGCCCACAAATTTTTGGGATGCCAACCTAGCAGTGTGGAAAGTAATCTAAGTATTGATGTCATTGCTGTCTATATTGTGCGGGATTGTCAGTTGAAATACTGATACGAAGTCATTAAATCCTTGATAGTAATAAAGCTCTTCTTTTGATTGCAAAATTCCATGAATCAAGTCACTGAGCTCATTCCTCTTAATCTATCTAATACAAATATTTCAGAGGCATTAAAGATTTATAATACTTTTCTAGTTTTGTAAAGCTTTGGCATTAAACAAAGTTATTGAGAGAACGAACGATGTCTTTTGCTATCTAAGTAGAGTCTCTAAACCCAGATATGCTCTCTAAAGTATTGGTCATTATATATCCATCTCATATTCACTTACATTTCCAATCGGCTTAATACTTATTCTTGATTTAGAACTTCGGACTATTTGAATTCAAACTTGGCAGATTATTTTTCTCAACAACGTTCATTAGCAATGGCCAAATATACTGTCTCAATTCTTGATTTACAAAACCATGATATGTGATTGCAACTTTCTTCAGTTGTTCTATGTTAACCTATGAAATTTGAGGGTAACACAAGATAATGATGTGCGTACAACGTCCTAATGTAGTATTGACAAAATGTAATGTTTTTTGTTTTCAATTTCTGACTCAGTCCTAGCTGAAACAGGCAATGATTAATCCATATTTGTATAAATTTTGATATCGATATTAATTTTGTCTAATTAATAAGTATAGTTAATATTTTGATCTTACGGGGTTTTGGGGTTTTGGGG